AACGTCTTGCTTCACGGATGAAACGGTAAGAGGCCAATCCCGGTCGGATCAATCCCTTTTGATGGTTTGGGTGGTGAATTAGCTGATTACGAGTCGTCTCGTTGATGATCGTGTGGTTGTTGTGTTGTAGTGTTGTAGTAATGATCGGGGTTAAGTACTGTGGTTGATGCGTGTTTGTGTATTGGTGTATGCTGTGAACTGTTGTGTGATGAGGTGTTGTGACGTGACGTGWTGTGATGTGGCGTGTAGTGATGCGATGTTGCACAACGTTCATAGCTCATGTGAACACACCTTAAACACTACTACTATTATGACAGGATTCTCTGAATTTCAATTATATATCTCATACATTGACCGATACTTTTAATAAAAAGTAGACTTTAAACACTAGGTCGTCATATTCAACAGTTAGAGGCTTCAGCAGTTTTGGTTTGATTCAGGCAGTTTGTATTCATACCACAAATTCACATTTCGTGCAAAGTTTATCTTGATACAATTATTACTTCTTGATTTGTATACTTGAAAGGAAAATTTTCAAATGGAATTGAAAGCAAGAAAGGAAGGGTTAACTTCGGATGCAACCGAACATTTTGTAATCATTAAACTTGCAAAAATCAAAATCAAGCAAATACTTTAAGGTCAACCAAAGGATCGAAATACAAGCAATTTTATACATACATATATGTATATACCCTATTCTGTGCACTTGAGAAAACTCTTGAAATTTGCCGCCGCCTAATTGCTGAACTAGCCCCACACGATAATCAGAAAAATTCACTACCTTTAACTGTAAGGGTTCTAGTAGCTTTGAACTTCTTTGGACACGGCTCATACCAGAAATGTGTAGGCAACAACATCAACTTTCCCATGAGTCAGCCGTGCCTTTCGAGAACTGTGCGGGCTGTAGCAAAACTTATTGTGAAGGTGAAGGGAGGAGAAATAAAGTTTCCCAGTTCAACAGAGGAAGARACTTAAAAAAAAAGTTTGTAAAGGTAAGTACTATTGTAATACAAATAATAATAAATTAATTTCAGCTAATTTATTTGAAATGTTTTCCAGTTTTTATAGGATTTGGAATAAAAAAAACCATTCTAACAATTGCATAATACAATGACGAATTTAGGCATTATGTTCAACAAAATAGATGACGGAGTTTCAGAAGACTTTCATTCTTCCATTGTTTAAATGAGTTAAGCATCCACCCACTTTACCCGGGAAAACTGGCGCACCCAGCAGGACACAACTAATATACCACAACCGATGACACCATAACATAACACAACACCAACACAACTCACCACATCTGTACACCAACCCACTGAACAAAAAGGATGGACAGAGGAAGGGCACACATAATTCGTTCTAAACACGACATTCATTTGACACACTGCGCACATAAACTTTCCGTTTGTAATACCCGTCTTGCGAAGTACATTTTGAATTTCGATCTGACATACGCCACATTCGATACCGAAACAACTTAAACTTTTAATTTTTAGGAAAAGTAACACTTGTATAAAGTTAAATACACTCAAACCTTTTTTTACACGTATTTGGAGTTCCACTGTTGCAAAAAAAAAACAAAAAAAGAATTTGTAAAAAATTTTAATCCGGTTTTCAAATTCACTGCCGTGTAATTATGTTTATTTTTACCACACCTGGCACCATTGCTGAAATGAATACATATTAGTAACTGGGACACAACAGACATTTTGTTCGCATGATATTTATATAAAATATTACTAAATTAAAGCTTTAAAAATAAAGTTTTTACCCTTACTACAGTTACAAAATGTCCAAAATTCCAAAGATTCCTAGAAGGCGTGCCATTTCTTTTGAAGTAAAATTAAAACTCTTGAACTGTCTGGAAAGAGGTGAAAGTTACCACATCTGCGGGCAAAAATTTTGTCTTAAACGAAGCTACTATCAGGACCATTAAGACAAATGATAATAAAATACGGAAATCTGTCGAAAGTCACCATTGGATAATTTGATGGATATCTCCATTGATGATACCGACTTTGGACCAGTTCGKCGCGAACAATTGAGCTTATTATCAAGTAGGGACAATTATTCGTAGCTATGCCAACATTTTTTTTTTATTGCTACATTATAATGGTACTAAAATTTTTCTGTTCTTAATTCTGGATTAACACATTTTTTTTTTTTTTTGTGTTTTGCGTGCTCTGCCAATTTTTCAACATATATAAATTATGTATTTTAAGTTTTAATGTTCAATAAGATGCCATATGAAAATACAATTCGTATGCATATCTGGTTCCTGGTAGTTCCTTATTTCTTCTTACACAGTTCTCAGATGACATGGAACGTATTCCCTATTTTACTATAGGAAACGCCTCTTTTTTTACATGTTTTTTCTTACACGGATTTCTGAGGAACGTATTTAGTTTTCAAATTCGGTCATCGGAACTTGGACCTCACCTGTAAGCCTTTGTCTCAATTTTAATCGCCTTGCGCGAGTGCGCAGTTGACTTTTCCAAACGCCTTTGGTGCCGCAATTTGATGGTACCGTTGGAAAGAGGAAGTCCTCCTCATTAAAAAATGCTTAGTTTACGAGATATTCAAAAATTCGAAAAATTTGAACATTTAAATAAGCTTTTTCACCACATTAAACACACTTTACTAAAATTTTTTCACTTCAAATTAACTAAATTACAGTATGAGCTTTTAAATAAATCCACATGAGGGGCATCATTAGTGTGTTGTTTTTGGCCAAAAAGGCGCGCACAAGCAACGATGTGTGAGCAGGGGCGTTATCTTGGTGCAAAAGCCAATTTTTGTCACATCTTCTCGGCCTTCTGAGAACACTTTGTACCAGCGATAAACGTTGCTTCGGTCCAAGGTAACTTCTCCGTATGCCACAGTCAACATTCGGAATGCATCCGCGCACTTAATTTCGTTTTTCACACAAAATTTTATACAGGTTCTTTGATCCATTTTTTTGAATAGGTAAAAATCGAAGACGATCCAAAACACGTGCAAGTAAAGCAGCTGTCAACAATTAAATGAACATTCAAAATGGCCGAGCTTGTGAGATGCATAAGTGAGAGACATGAGTACCAACATAACGTCACAAAAATTCGAAATTCGTATATACGTAACCCGCGAAAATTCAAAATTCACTTTTTGAACACACCTCGTATAGTAACATTACACAATAAAGTGTAAAGTATACAAGTACAGTACGAAAATTCAAATTTTAAATATAAAAATATATGTATGGTCAACTAGAATACGAAAAAATTTATCATAAAAAATAAATGGAAATCGCTGACAGATATTATCAGCCCGATTCTGTGCAGTTGATAAATTCACCATCTTGCTTATTTATCAATATAGATTATTTATCAAGTCTTTGGTATTGTGTCAAAAACCAAAAGCTCTTTTCTAGATAAATTATCAAGATGTCAAATGCTCTTGACAAATTCAACAACTGTTTGTGAAAATATTGTGAACACATTTTAATTGTATTTTGATTGAAATTAAATAAAATAAAATAAAATGGAAGAAGACATATTATTATTGTTGCTGTTAGAAGAGGAGGAAAATTTAGAAAATAGAGATCGCGCACGTTATTTCAGGAGTTTGAGGGATTCTAATGATCCATTTGCCCTCAATGAAAGTGAGTTCATGAAAAATGTCCGACTGCCGCGTGATATTTGCCGGAGTCTAATAGATGACTTACGGCCTCATGATCAACAAAAGACTTCATTGCGTTTGACCATTAGAGTCCTGGCAACTTTAAATTTAATAACTGCAACTTGCCAATGAGTCAGTCGTCACTCTCGAGAAGTATGCGGGCCGTGGCCAAACTTATAGTAAAAGTTAAAGGAGAAGAAATAAAATTTCCTAGTTCCACTGAGGAAGAAAATATAGTCAGAACCGGGTATGTACATACATGTGTATTAAAACAATTGGATTCATCTAAATTCACTGAGTTTAATTTCAGATTTTTCACAAAATACGGAATAAAGAGTACTATAGGAACAATCGACTGTACACATATTGCAATTATTGCTCCTGCGTCAAATAATATTGAACGTCCCCTTGGCTTATATTTAAATAGGAAGGGCTTCTACAGCATTAATRTCGAAGCGGTATGTTTTGTTGTGTATAAACTTAATAACTGACATTCATAAGTTAACTTTCTCAGGTATGTGATCACCGTTTATGCTTCAGGTTTCTAAATGCTAAATTTCCGGGTGCGACACATGACTCTGGAATTTGGGCAACTTCTAACCTACGAGAGCATCTCATTCGTCAACACACCAATGACGCTGTAGGGCACCGAAGGGAGTCGTGGCTGATTGGTGACCAAGGTTACCCTTTAGAACCTTGACTCTTAACACCGGTCGGAAATTATAGTACTTCTCAAGAGCGAAAGTATAATAAGCTACATTGTACTGCCAGAAATTGTATTGAAAGAGCGTTCGGAGTTTTAAAATCGCGCTTCAGATGTTTGCTGAAGCACCGGGTTCTACATTATTCCCGTGAAACGTCCGCATTAATAATAAGCAGTTGTGTTATACTGCATAATATAATTACGAAAGCTGGTATTACCATGGACGCGGTGGACAACGAGGTTGAAGAAGACTCTGACCATGTAGTTAATTCCGGTGCCTCTTTTCAGTATACACGAGAAGGTGAAAGGATAAGGGCAAGATATATATCTACACTTTCACACATTATTACACTATACACTACATTACTACTAACAATATGCATATATACACTGCACAATGACATTACACATTAACCTACTCCTGTTACATTAACCTTCTATTATTTCACAAGGTAACGACTGCCAACAATATGTGTATACACAAGTCGTATGTAAACAGAATATGTAAACAGAAGCACACATCACCGCACTTAAAAGTAACCCCTTCATAGCCTGTATCAGGCACATGCTAAGCTGCTCGGTCTGAGCCACGACATCTTCAGCTACAGAATAACACAACCAGATATAATCATTAACAACATTGTTTCATTAGTTTAATTCATTAGTTTGAATAATTTATTTTAATAAAAACAAAGTCCATTAACATACATACATATGGATATGTAAAAACAAGAAAACTAAAATTTGAAAAAAAGGAATTAAAAAAATATAAAATTCAGTCTTCCAACTCTAATGACCAGAGTTTTGTTTTAAAACATTTATTAACTCTGCGACAACTCTTGTTAGGTCATGGATGGCATGTATTACTTCCCGGTGCTCCCGACGCTGTTCCTCTTCACGACGTTGCCTGTGTTCTTCAGCAGCATTCCTCTTTGCTATGTTAGCAATAAGAGTACTAATTAGCTTATTGCGCTCCCCTCGTGATGGCCGTGATGTCCTGGCATCTGAATCGGTGTCAATCTTAAAAAAAAAAAAATATTTATTAAAAACTACGTAAAGGCATATGTATGTTTGTATGTATGGATATATATATATATATATCTATGAATAACTATGTATTATGTATAGGTACTCATATAGATACGAGTATATTGGTGCGAATTCTTGGGCTCCAAATTTAAAGTTTGTTAAATTATTAAAAAGTTCGTATGAAGCTAAAAACTTGGGTTCATATGGCTTTTCTTTGCGAATAAATAAAAGAAAAATAACCCAAAAAAAGAAAAACGCCACTGCGTTTAACCAGTGTAAAGGGGATTATGTACTTGGATACATTGTAGAATAAAATAGAAATTACATACCTGATGGTGAATCATATGTGGGCCTGGCGATGGTAGTGGGTTTCACGATGGTTGTGGGTTTGGCGAAGGTAGTGGGGTTGGCGACAATAAGAGGCTTGGCAGTGGTGCTGAACTAGGCAGTCTACTTTCAGTAGATGATATTGTACACTCAATTATCGACGATTCTACAATTTGTTTTCGCGGCAGCCCTAAACCAAGCTTGGAGTTTCCGCTCCATCCACAGCTACTGATCCAAAAGCTGCCAAAGATTTTTGCTCGAAATTGGTCAACGGCTTGCCACAGGGTTCTCCTCCAGTGAGCCTCTGCTCCATTTTTAAGCGCCTTGCACGCGTACGTAGTTGGCTCTTCCAAACACCCATTGTCTGTAAATCAAAATCATTTAACAAATGTAGAAAATAGCCGCAGTACGAGATGGCCCTCTGCGCGCATTTAACTGCTCCGAAAGCTGCCGCCACAAATCCTGCATTTGTCGAGGCGATTTTGGCGTATTTTTTCCTCTACCGATTTCCGGACCCGCCCGGCAAAATAAACCGTAACTTTCTAGATAATTGTTCGTGCGTGTATCGACCAGCGACGACCAGCTTTCGTCCTCGTAAATATAAACACTCTGTTCAGCCATAAATTTGATAAGTGATTTTTAAATTACTAAATTTAGCTGAAAAATTACAAAATAAATGTGTAATGTGGGCTTACTTCAATGCAAACAGTATAATATACATATAAAAAAAGTGAAAAAATTTAGTGAAACATGGAGAAATAACATGTGTTCTTAGTGCAAACTTTTGAATTTTTAAACGTGAATATTTTAAAAAAATTTAGTTATTTTTATATTATTTTTGAATATTCCTCCTCTGGAGAAGCACCCCTATCCGTACATACTCCATTTCTATGGAAATTCATCAACATAAACTAAAATATTACCTCTTTCCCTTTTGCAGCACTTTGTAATGGTCCTCTATAAGAATTCCGTTCATCTGCCAGCTGTTGCTACAATTCACTCGTTTGTTGAGGCGTTTTTGGGCAATTTTTCCCCGTACCCAATTATAGATGCGCTTGGCAAAATGAAACAAAAGCCTCCAGTTGCTCGTGAGTAACTCGATCGTGTTTTGGTTGACTATCAAAAAGAAGTTAAATTATAAATTTTGTTAATAATTAATTGATATATTTCAACACTTATGTTCCAAAGGAATACATTTTAACGAATAAATATAATTTGAATAAAATTAAGCCGTTTCTATTTACATTATTTTGTTCACCATACGTGTGGGGAAAAGCTTTGCGAACTAAAGCTTTTACTTTTGTCAAGAATGCCACAGTACTTGATAAATTTTTGAATAAATTTTCAATATTTTATTAATTTGTCAATTGAACAGAATAGTTATAATACTATATATAATTCATATACTGACAGACAGAACGAAAATCATGATATGTAGTATATGGGAGTTGGGGTAGTATCGATACGATTGTATATGTTTTTCCCAATACCACATAGTTTTAACATGTCACATAAATACTAATCATATAGAGTAAAKTCAGCCGGATGTTCAAGAATCCTGATATTAATTATATAGATGCTAGGTCAAGTTTTCTTTCAAATTTTTGTACTTTAGGCACAAAGTTACACTCATTTTCATTGAGATAACTAACATATTGGCTGATATATACAGTACAAAGTTACCTGTAGGCTAAGAGGAATTTTATCCCGATTCAACCCATTTTTGACATACGGATATACTAGTGTCAGCAAAGGATTCTCCTTGATTTTTAATTGTATATAGTATCTCACACATTCACCAATCTTTTCGAACAAACGTCAACTATAGGTACTGATATAAAAATATTCGGTATCTAAAGCAATGAACCCTTTTGGTTGGGTATGGAAAATTTTAGGCCACAAGGTGGTATACTTTAAAGGAATTATTACTACAAATTGTGTCGCGTTATGGAATGGTACTGTCATTCATCTCCAAATGGATCGAGGTTGATGGATTTTGCCGGGGCCCGAAATATGGCTATCTGTAGTACTTGATTTCAACATAACAATATTCATAAAGCCAAGTGGTTGTCTCCGGATCGAAAAACCGCCAACCAGATCGTTCATGTTGTGATAGACGGAACACACATCTCCAGTATTTTAGGACGATTTGCTACTCGACTTGCACTCCTGCTCGCTGAGAACACTCGTCAACAACTCGGTATAAGCGATGACATTTCAAACTCCTCACGTGCAGCTGCAACCGAATCCATTAGTTTTTGGAAAATGAAGGAAAGGAGAGRAAACAGACTGCCTACTTCTCAACGTTACGATCGACCACAGTGCAGGATGGGATAGATGCCGAGAGTTGAAGAGGGAAGCGAGACGCATTTGCAGACAAAAAGAAAAAGAAGCCGAAATGCATGAGTATGAAGAGCTTGACAAGCTGCCGTCAGGTAAATGCTCGAAAATTCTACGAAAAATGCGGCTTCTAAAAGAAAGTTTCAAGACCGGAGCATACTCTTGCAGAACCCCCAAAGGTGATCTAGCGATCAATGCCCCGAGCATACTAAAATTATGGAGAGAACACCACTCCAGCCTTCTGAATGGCAGTGAAAGAATAACGCCAGGAGAAGGCGAATCCGATTCCCCAAACGATGACGATGGAGCTGGCGTTAAATTGTCCGACCATGAAGAAGTTCGAATAGCAATTACCCTCGTGAAGAAAAACAAAGCCACGGGAGCCGATAGATTGCCGGCCGAGCTACTCAAACTAGGCGGTGAAGAACTGATAAGGAGCAGTTATTAGCTTCTTTGTAAAATATGGTCGGATGAAAGTATACCCAAATATTAGAATTTAAGTGTGCCCTTCCCAATCCACAAATAATAAGGTTTTATCGAGCCACCGCCAACAAACTGATTGGACCTTATCAGTGACCTGGCAAATCAACTACAGACCAGATATTTCCCATGAGCCAAATCTTGGAAAAGACCCGTGAAAAGAGAATCGACGCACACCACCTCTTCGTCGATTTCAAAGCTGCTTTTGACATCACAAGAAAGAGCTGCCCCTATGCCACGATGCTTGAATTTGGTATCCCTGTGTAAACTGACGTTGAGCAACACCAAAAGCTCCGTTCAATACCAAACAAGGTTTCAGACAATACGACTCCCTATCGTACGACTTCTTCAATATCCTGCCGGAGAATATAATTCGAACTGCAGAACTTAATCGAGTAGGTACAATCTTTTAAAAGAGTGTACAGCTGCTGGCGTATGCCGATAAACAGATCAAACAAAAAATATGCGTTTCGGCGAAATTCTGTGCTCAAAAAAGTATTTTGCCTTCGAATTCAAATCTGCCAGTTGGTGCGGATTACGTTTGGTTTTCTATTGTTCGATAATGTTGTGGTTCTATAATAAGGTGATAAGTGCAATTGAAAAATCAAATCAAATTGAAAATAGAGGGCGCTTTCAATAACATAAAAGTAAAATCTATAACTAATTCTCTGACACGTGTTGGCATAGATGGAACTGTGTGCAGATGGATACTATCGATGCGCCAGAATAGGAAGATTAAAGCTTCAAACGGCGCTGCAACAAAAACAAGTTATGTGAGTAGAGGGACGCCTCAAGGGGGGGTCCTCTCTCAGCTTCTATGGGTCGTAGCGCTGAACGAAATACTACTCAAACTAAGCGGTGGAGGAGTGAAAGCAGTAGCGTATGCTGACGATATAGCGTTGTTGGTATCAACCATGTTTCCTTCAACAGTCASCGAGATTATGGAAAGAGTACTTCGAAGGTTAAACCTATGGGCTAAAAACAATAAACTAGGAGTTAACCGGAACAAAACGGAACTGATGCTAATCACAAGCAGAAACAAAATCCCTCAGATTCAAATTCGTGTACTAAACGGTACAACACTCACTCTATTCCCCACAGCTAAATACTTGGGGGTGGAGATTG